GAACTGGAACCATGAGGTCGGTGGAGAGATTTCGGTAACTATGGGATGGACACCCTCCACCTACTCAGCCAGCCACTCAATCATCGTCCTTTTCTATAGTTCCACTTCCTGCTTCTAAATCACATTCTGTGTCTGGTGATGATAATGTACATGTCGTCTTCCATAAAGGTACAGGTCTTGTGCTCAACTTCTCATTGCTCATTTTGGTACCTTCAGAAATTATCAAAGTTTTTCTTTAGGTCTTTCATTTGTTTGTATCCCTATGTCTTATCAATAAGCAAGGTTAACATTATAAAAAAAAAAAGTCTTATCAATAAGCCCTTTCTCATACTAGGTGGAAGAAAGCAATGGAAGAGGAAATAGATGCACCCAAATTGAATGATACATGGGAGCTCACCGAGTTACCAGCTAGAAAAAGGACTGTTGAGTGTCGCAGGGTTTATGCAATAAAATATCAACCTAATGGAACCATTGAGAGATTAAAAGCCCCTTGGTTGCCAAAGATACACCCAAAACTTTGGCATTGATTACTCTGTAAGTTTTGTTCTTGTTGCTAAACTTAATTCAGTGTTAGTCATATTTTGTAGCAGCAAACAAGGGCTGGCCACTGTTAAAATGAGTGTAGCAGAGATGATGATGTTGAGATGGATGAGTGGCAAGACAAGAAGGGATAGAATCCGAAATGAATCCATTTGGAAAAGTTTAGGTGTGGCACCAATAGGCGATAAGATGAGATATAGTAGACTTAAGTGGGCTGGCCATATGTGGCATCGACCCAATACAACACCTATTAGGAGGTGCGAGTTAGTTCAAGTAGAAGGAGTTAGTTCAAGTAGAAGGATTGAAAAGGGCAAGGGATCGACTGAAAAGGACGTGGTTGGAAGCAGTTCAAAAAGATATGGGGACTTATGGCCTCATTGAGGGTATGACCTTAAATAGAGTAGAATGGCGGACCAGGATTTGTGTAGCTGACCCCAATTAATTGGAAAAATGCTATGATGATGATGAAACAAGGCTGGCTACTGTGGAAGCTTGATGTGAAGAATGCCTTCCTCTATGGTGACTTATAAGAGGAGGTGTATTTGGAGCAGCCACATGGGTTTGTTACTCAAGGGCAATTAGAGAAAATCAGAGAAAGTGTGTAAGTTGAAGAAAGCCATTTACAGTTTGAAGCAGTTCCAACGTGCAAGGTTTAAGAAATTTGTCGCAATTGTTGTGGCATATGGATTTCTATACGGCCATGTAGATCAGGCGGTGTTTATTTGGAAACAAAAGTTTAAGATAATTGCCTTAGTTGTATATGCTGATGACATTATCATATAGACAATAGACAATGATAAAGAAGGAATCAATCATTTGAAGAGACATCTAAAATAATATGTTCAGACAAAGGATTTGGATAAGGTGTTTTCTAGGAATTAAAGTAGCCAGATGAAAGCATGGCATTAGCTTGTCCCAAAGAAAGTACATGACTGATTTGTTAACAAAAACTGGAACATTAGGTGCTAAACTAGTCGATACTCATATGCATCTGAATACAAAATTGTGGGCTGATAATGGGGAATTGTTTGAGGATCTAGGAAGGTACAAAAGACTAATAGGCAGGCTAATCATCTGACACTCATTAGGCCTAATATTGCTTTTGCCGCAAGTGTAGTGAGTCACTTTATGCACTCTCCTAAGATTCCTCACTATGGTATATGAAGGGAGCTCTAGGTCGATGTCTGATTGCAAGCCAAATAATCATTTGATCATTGAAAGTTACCCTGATGTTGATTGGGCAGGTTCTTAATCTGACTGGCGGTTTACTACATGCTATTATACATTTATTGGTGGAAATGTGGTATACGGTGAAGTAAGAAACAAAATGTTATGGCTAGATCTAGTATAGATGCAAAATATAAAGCATTGATAAATACTACATGTGAGTTGATGTGGTTGAAGATACTGGTACATGGTATGGAGTGTACTGTAGTTGAGCCTATGAATATGTATTGTGGTAATAACGCTGCAACCTATATAGCCTGTAATCTATTGTTTAATGAGAGTACTAACATATTGAAGCTGACTGTCACTTTATTTGAGAGAAGGCTTCTAGTAAGCAGGTGTCTACTCCATATGTGAAATCTACGGCACAGTTGGTAAACATCTTTACAAAGCCCTTGGTCCTAATCTGCTCCAAACAATTTGTTCCAAGCTGGGAATTGGTGACATTTATGCTCCGGCTTTAGAGGGAGTATGAGAAGACCTTTTATATTTATTTCTCTATATATCCTATTTCCAGTCTATGTGCCCAGTAGTTGTTTCACTTTCTTGTAGTTATTAGGACCTATATATCCCATTTCCAGTTTGTATGGGCAGTATTATCATTTTTCCAGTTTGACAGGTGCATGAGGTCTATTGGACTCTTAAGCCACTCTATATTAAACTCTCTTCTCTTTCAATCTCTCTTCCCCCTCTCTCTCTCTC